ATTTTGTAGAGTTTATTTTTCTGAAAATATTGACGTTTCAAAATTTTATTTTCATTAATTTCCTGATTTTTAATATTTTTTCTAGTTTTGAAGAAATAAAATATGATTATAAATTTATAACTATTAGGTACACGGAAAGTATTCGGTCGGCCGTATGGGAATGCGCGTGGCACGGCGGGTCACATACTCACATGTTTGATAACATTACGGTGTTAAATAATTCGCAATTTTTCTCGAAATTAAAAAAAAATATTAAAAATCAAGAAATTAATGAAAATAAAATTTTGAAACCTCAATATTTTCAGAAAAATAAATTCAACAAAATGGTTATCTTTAATTTTTTTTTGAAATAATTAAATAAAAAAATATATTTTTAAACGTTTTTATCAAAATATTAAAATAAATTAAAATATAAAATAATCGTAGCTCTTATCCCTGTGAGTTTTATTACAAAACCAGAATTTCGATATCACCATTATTTCGGGAGATATCGCGATATGGGTAAATCCTCACGGKACACTCTGTATACCAACTCTCTATGATTCAAAATCTGTGTTTAATTCGTCGTTTAATACCCAGCTAATTAAGTCAATTGTAATAACCTAATGAAGTGCGAAATTATGGCGTAAAAATGCGAAATAATTAATTAATAATTAAATAATTCATAACATTAGATTTGAAACCAATAGCCCCTCACAATATACAAAAATATTTAATATTAACTGTTTAGTATATTTTTTGGCGGAAAGATGAAGAAACTATTGTATTTTTTAGTATGGTCGTCCTCATACCATCGTAACTATATTGGGCTAAATTTATGCCAAAATGCTACTCTACAATGACCACAATGTACTCTTATTCGTTTGAAAAAATCAATACGATCTGATAAGTAGTTGCAGATTTTACCCCATACAAAGATTTTCATTTCACATTTATATAGTTAGATATAGATTATTATCCATATTATTTTCATTTAATACTTTATGAATAGTAAATGGTATCGTAGTAAGGTGAACAGTGAACACACGTTTTGTCTGTTTATCGCTTTTAATCACCGAACACCGCTGTTCTACCACTTGTACCTACATAAGGGAACCTTCCATTCAGGTATTAGAAACCTGTCCTAACCAAGTCCTAAATGATCTACGCATTCATTATTCAAACTATCAAACTACAGTAGTCTTTTCCGTGCTGTTTTCAAATTAAATTTTTTTTTCAAATTTTTTTTTTTTTTGTAATTTAACGTGAATTTAGTTAGTACTTCAGAGTGTAAGTAAATAATTCCCAGTAGATACTTTTATTAATAGTTATTGGTAAAAATGCCAACTAGTTTTTAAAAGAATTCAATTTATTATATTATTTTACAATTTACAAAACAGTAAACACCATATAAATAATACCTTTATATTGTTACTAAATGTTTAATGTTTAATTATTACTTATTATAACATTTTATATGAATGATATAATATTTGTAAAATATTATATTATTAACGTTTTTAAGATATTATACACTTAGTAGACTTAAATATCTGATTTGAAATTTTTTCTATGAATGTTAATACATATAAAAATTTTCATTTGCTCAAAAACCTTGAAAATATAATATAAGATTCTTCATAAATTTAAATTTAAAAAATAACATTTGCGTAATTTAAAAATGTTAATAAAATTCGTTAAAATCGTGAGAATACATTAAACCTTTGATTGAAATTTCTCGATACACCTTCAATTGGTCCTCTCATAAAAGGAAAAAAACAGGAAAAATAATTGTTAAATTCTTCAAGAAATAAAATTTAGTTTACTTAATTTAAGAACCTATATTACAATTAATTTTTTTTTACGTCTAACCTGTAATCACTAAATAATGTAGGTAGTAATTAATGTATGTATTATGTAACCTATAGTAATCTATATAGGTATATTGCTTTAAACAAATAAAAAATTATACTTAAAAAACCCTTATTAAAAAAAAAAAGGTTCATACTTATATTATATTAGATCGTGGCATTACACGGTCTACAATAACTTATCGTATATTTCTATAGTAGTAAAATAAACTAGGTATATAGTTTGTAGATCATGACAAAGAACTGCGTAGAAATATCGTGAATTTCGGCATTTGCATACCGGACTCCTGCACCGCTTCTGACCTCCAGGTTACGCTACAAAAAGAATTTGATAAACACTTCCTACCACACCAGGTTAAAGCTGAAGTCCAAGTTGATGCAATATTGTGTTCGAAGGATAAGGACGAATAYCCGTATGATACCGGATATTATTTAACCAGGTAACGAATATCTAAGTTATACGGAATGCAAATGATTTAAATTTTTTGAATTAACCTATAATTAAAAAATCATTTGTGGTGTGTTTACRATCGTTTTAGATACGCACCATTAATTAATAGGTAATAATTATGTACAAAGTTCTAAAAATTATGTCATAAAAATACACTAAAAATCTTGATTTTCAATTTTTCACTTTATCTGATAGTACCTAAATAATTTGAAAATATAATACAAGGTTCTCTATAAGTTTTTTCTAGCAATTTAARTATATAAAGGTGACATTTTTTTTTTTATAACCATTTGAAGTTTAAATCGATAAAATCACGACAATTTACAATTTATAGTTTATTTTTAAACATTTTAATATATTACATTTTTACAACTAAGAATTGAAAATTCAATAGTAAAATTCCTCATAAGTATTAAATTCTGTTAAGTTTATGTAAAATTAAATTATACAGAAAAAAGATAATTAGACATTTAAAAGGTAAATAAAAAAAAAAAAAAAAATACTAATACTTTTAGCTCTATTAAGTATTTACCATAATTACTACATATCATACTTAACTTGTAGTAGGTATATAAGCTATTGCTTAGTATACATCTTTGCATAGCTATAATATTAATTGGAATATTGTTTTCATATTTGTTTGTTAAGTTCACTAGTTGGATTCATATTCTTGATCTGCTGCTTATCGACGGCGTACCATTTGATAATATATGGTGACAACAATAAAAATAGTAAGTAGTGAGTCACCATAAAATACATAGATACATACTACGTATAGGTATTAAAATAGTTGTGTATGTAATAAGTTAATTGCATTTAACGAAACCGGCAAAAATATTTAAAAATTGTTTCGTCATTTTATTAATCAATATTTATACCAACAATTAATTTCGTTAAGATAATATATACAGCTACTAAATTTTTACGGGAGAGACAGCCGGATCCCCTACAGTCTTGCCAATACGAATGTCTACGTATGAAATAAAATATTATCATTTCACTTGTTATTGTATATTATATTATATTATTTACAGGTGAAATGCCAGAATTATTCGGCTCATTCTCGTTAATTCGCAACTACAAAGATTTGATCAAATACAACAAAAACAACGATTTAAACATATTCAACGGGCTTAAAGTTGTTATCATGATATTAGTGTTGTTTTGCCATAAATTTTTATACTTTGTAATAAATCCTATCGAGAACGGAATTTACCTTGAAAAGGTAATTCAAAAACGATTTTATATATTTATATGATGTACGCGCACGCGACACTCATTTGCATGACCTATTTATAAACTCAATTTGTATTAATTATAAATTAGGCATAATAGTTTTATATTGTATTAATGGATTTATATTATTATATGTTTTTCGTTTTATTAAAGATGTATGAGGGCGGATCGGATTTCTTTTTGACGGCCATGAATTTGATCGATCCGTTTTTTTACATTGCCGGTTACTTGATGTATATCATGTTGATTCCGCGATTCAATAAGCCCGGCACCAGTTGGTATCAGATACTTATGGTGATCGCTTACAAATACTTGAGGTTTGTATCTATATCTAGTTGGTATATCACATTATTTTGGTCCGTGTAATAGTAATAATACTAATTATTATTTTATTTAAAAGAATATATAACTATATAATAATAACTATATCGTGTTCGACCCGTCTTAGCCATGTATATAATTATTTATTACTGTTTATTATAATAGGTAACATAAATAATAAATCTTATTTTATATTCCTGTTAAATAATCCGTGGTTATTCTATTAAAACCAAGAATGTCACAGTCAGAGTCGTATAGCAAGGTTTATATCAGTGTTCTTGGTTATCTTACATATTTCAATTACATAATTTTTTTTTTTTTAATTTGTATTATATAATGAATAATGATGTTTATGTCGTTAAACGTAAATTCATTTTATTCGCTGATTATTAATGTTATTAACCAAATATCCAATAGATAATTATAGGTAACATAGCTAGAGGTACATATGATAAATCAGATAATCACGTTAATTATTGTTTTAGACCCAATAACTGTAATTATTATTATTTTATTATTTTACACACACGTGAATCTCAAATTCTATAAAATGACACAAAAATGATGTAGGTATTTTCACAACAATAGAAATAAATAACAATGAATTATTATATTACTTATTTTTTTTTTTTACCAGTTGTTATGCTGTGACACTTTTCAGCCCCGCTTTACCACAGTTATTGTTATTTTGTTGCAACCGGTATTGCAATGGTTGCGCTGGTTTTATTAGCTTATTCATTAAATTTCTTGTTGGAAATCTATTTTATAGTAAACATTCTCCATTCGTTTATTGGTCGATATAAAGTATATTCAATATATTATTTTATAACAACATATATCTCTAAAGATATATTATTAATAGTAATAACATAGCTATATTATGCCTATATTTTATTTTGGCTTTTTTGCCTTTGCCTTGAGTCAGCCTCGCACTAAACCCGGCTATACGGCTTTGAACTACAAAGTTAAGAAGGTGATACTTTGATAAGTTCATAAATTTAAAAAGAAAACTGGATTTAAAAAAAAAAATACAACTACCTATATAATTATGGTGACTTTCATTTCAAAGACCATGAATTATAATAAAGTGATATACTTCAACTATTAAATGTATGCCAAAACAGTCTATTATAATTTATAATACTAAAATGATTAATAGCAATAATAACGATTGTTCTTAAATAAGGGTTATGCCGGCGTATGTGGTTGTGATGTTGATGACAGCTTTCGTCATTCCTCATTTGGGCGACGGACCGTTTTGGGCTTCAAGAATATGGGTTGAAGCTGATAAATGCAAAAACTATTGGTGGGCTAATTTATTGGTAGTCAGCAACTACATACCAGTCGAAAACCAAGTAAAATAAAAAATATACATTTTAATGATATTATAGTATGAATATATTATATTTATTAACCGTTGAAAATGCAGATACCAAAATGAGGTATCTAATAAGGTAAATAATAAGTTATAAAGTAGCGATGGTTATACTTAAAAGAGGGTGTCGGGAA